CATTACAAAAAAAAAAAAAAAGAGCGATCATGTTTTATAAATTAAATTTTCCGAATTATTCTATGGTAATCAACTGAACACCCCAGATAATCAAGTGTCATTTGAGTGCAATAACTATCAGTACAGATTGTCATGTGTATTGAGAATGTATGTTATTCCTGTAATTAAAGCGGAAAGAAAAGTACGACCACATTGTTTATATTAAAACTTTACTTCCTTTTACTACACAGCTATATACCTATTTAACTCACTACTTTTGTTTACAAAAATAAGCAAATGTTATACAGGGTTTCCAAACAACACAGCTACATATGCTTTTCATGTTATGGTCAAACAGTACATCAATATAAAACATGCAAATCTGGAGGCAGCGCTTTAAAATAAAAAAAAGTGCCCAGACCTGTATAAATAGCAAACCAACTGGTAAGATGGCAGGTCAAATATACGCTGTATATTCATATATTTATATATATAACGTGTAAAAGAACACGGATATGCATTCACAGCACACCCAGAGATACACACTGTTTGCTAGGGTGAAGAGACACACAAAAAACAATGACCACTTCAAATCACAAAATAAAATATCTACAAAATACTTAGTGAATTTAAATGTGGTTTTCAGACATTCAGACACTGTCTTATGAACATTTCAGTTATGTGCTTGCAAAATGAATCCATTTTTGGCGCAAGTCGTAGCATGAGACCCAAAATTTCAACTTTTAACAGCTGATGATCAAATTCATAAGACGACCGGCCAAAAACTGACTGCTGGAAACATTTTAGAAACTCCTGCCACATGCAAAGCTCGCATCTAGATGCTGATCTCTGTTAATCATACCATCATGTCCCGTTAATTAAGGTTCCTCCCTCAGATTACATTCGACTCACACTAGGGAGTGAGCAGCACCAGTGTCCAGGAGAGCATTATGGGATGCATTCATGATCAGAGAAGGTTTAATCAAGCTTTGATCACACAGTGGAGTACACTACAAGAAGAAACACAACAGTTTCATTGCATTTATGAAGGAATGAGAAACATATGTAGTGGTGTTTTCTATCCGTTTATGTGGTGTGTTGCACTACTGTCTATATTCAGCCATTAAAGACATCAAAAAAAAAAAAACTACGGTCAGACCCAGCTGTCGTCCACATTCTCTGGCCGGTCCAGCGGGGTTCAGTCTTAGCGTTCAGGTCAACTCTGGCCTCGAATGAATAATGAAAGTTTGGTGTGACGCTGACCCTTCAGTTCTGTGTAGATCTGTTGTGCTCTTGAAGTCGAAGCAACCGTATGCCCAGAGAATAAAAGTCATATCACGACAGCAAAGCCTTCATCCATATTTGTGCATCTCTCACTTTTTTTGGATTTGCCAAAATGTGCGAAAAGTTACGACAAAGGTCTTTTGTTGGTGTGACAGGAAGAACCCCAAATCACCATGTAGCAGCACCAGAATCCCAATATAAGGTTAACTAGAGAATGAGGGAGAAATCGAGAAAGGGAAAGACAAAGAGAAAGTTAGTTTCACCACATTTTAACCCAAGAGGAAAGAAAAATCCTTCGGTCATTTAAAAAAACAAAAAAGCACCACAGCGTGCCATCATGCTCAAGAGAAGCAGATTAACACACCTGCAAACACACAACAGGTCTCAAACTTTTATTGCAAAAGGGAACAAAACAGACCTAAAAATAAAAATACTGTTTTGATGCACATTCTCTCATTTAGTTTTTTCCTTTTACAGTACAGCTGAAATGTCTTCTTGATAAACAGTTTGTAAACACGGTAATCAAACGGACTCATTTGTTCAGAAGGCTGTTGGTGGAGTCTTCTCGCCTCATCTTTGGAGTGTCCAGTCGTGGAGGACTAGGGCGAGAGGATCAAAGGTCAAATAAGAAACACAAGCAGGCCAAACACCAATTCTCTGAACAAACCTCTTCTTCATTAGTAAATGAGAAATGATTGGAGAAACGATTCAGTTTTGCATTGGAGGGCAGAGGGTGTTTATGAGAATTGGTACAGAAACTAATGTTGGATTATGGCAAATTCTCCATATCCCATCTTGGCCAAATCTTTCACACAAATAGTTAACACACTCACATGCTTAAATTTGCTTCAACAGCAAACGAATCCCACTGCACACAAAAAATAGGCATTCCATGACTCTGTTCCAAAACCAAGTGAGCAGCCTAGAGTTTAGTGTTAGCACAAAAACATACAAATACTGGATAAAATAGCATTTTCAATTGGATTTAACTGGTTTTGATACATTTTGATGATAAATTACATTTACATTTATAATTAACACCACTTTAATATCATTTTATGATAACCCTTTATTTTAAAGGGATACTTCACCCAAAAATGAAAATTCTGTCATTAATTACTCACCCTCATGTTCCAAACCCGTAAGACTTCCGTTCATCTTCGGAACACAAATTAAGATATTTTTAATGGAATCTGAGAGCTCTCTGAACCCCCCATAGACGGCAAGGATCCTTACACGATCAAGGTCCAGAAACATAGCAAGGAGATCGGTAAAATAATCCATGTGACATCAGAGGTTCAAAAAAATGTGCGCAAAAGAAAAAAAATTGACTATTCAACAATTCGTCTCCTCCGCGTTGATCGTGTAAGGACACTTGCTGTCTATGGGAAGGTCAGAGAGCTCTCAGATTCCATCAAATATATCTTAATTTAATTTACATTTAGCATTCGATAACATTTATGATATCAAATTACTGGAATTACTGACTGTTAAGATTCCCCTCTTGTGTATTACATTACAGCAAATAATCAAAATGCTGCCAAAGTAGGTGGGTTAGGAGGTTTTGGAACAGAGCCCCTTTGAAAGTAGTTACCCTGTTTGAACCCTACACATGCTCCTCAGAAATGAAACGTATGGTCATAATCTACATCATCCACATCATCCAGAGCCCAGTGCCAGTCCTGAAGCTCAGAATCCAGAGGCCTGCAGGTGGAGGAGAGAGCATTCAGCCAAGCCTTCACCAACCTCACTACAGACTGTCTCTGTAAGGTCTGGAGGTAGTTTCGCTAAGGTGAAGCTACAACTTGGCACATAATTACTATATCTGAGCTAAACCTTAAAAATAAGACTGGCCACTGCTCAATGTCTGCTGAAGCTTTAAAGGCTGTACATCTGTATGCATCTTGAGTTTGGTGACGATACAGACCTCTATGGTTGAAGTTTGATGCATACTTTTAGTATTTAGCCTTTAAATTCACTGTTACTAATCACAATTAAAAACCTGAGTTGGATACAAAAGAGAAAAGTGCTTTGCTAATGCCCAAGCTGTCATCTTGCATACCAAGTTACAAAAAGCAGCCCAGTGTAACACTGTTTAAGCTTTATATCCGGTTAGCCACCATTAGCAAAGACCGTAAATGTTATTCTGCTAGTCAAGCACTGCGATTTAAACCTTGAAAGCTCTTGAATGATGTTATTGAAGCATGCTAAAGCTAAACATCAATACATCCTCCATCCAACTTCCAGGTCGGCCATGTTCTCCTCTCACCCCGTGCTGAACTGGGGGTTGAACGGGTCTGGAGCACAGGGTCTGAGACTTTCCTCTTTCTTGTCCATGTGCTCTTTATGGCATTTGATCTGGCATCTCTGGCATTCCAGAGCCAGAGGAGGTTTGAACATGTTCCACAGGGGTTTGGTACAGGCCTCACAGTTGGCAGGAAAGTGGTAGAATAAAGGAATAAACTCGTGTCCCTTGTGGTAGATGAAGCCAGATTTCTCCGCACACGCTGTTGGTTCCTTTAGGTTGTGCACAGACCTGTGTATCATATAGAGTAGCACTCTAGTGTGTAACCGGTGCCAAACACGTGTCTAGCGTTTCTGCATTGATTTTATGAACAGCCATCTTAGAATCAAACTTTACAGAACAAGATGGTAAAGGGACAGTTCACACAAAAATTAAAAACAGTCAATTGTCATCATTCACTCACTATAATGTTGTTACAAACTCGTATGACTATTTATACCATGTAACGTAAAAGATATTTTACAATGTCCAAGATGCATTTTTTTTTCTATAAAATGAAAGAAGACAGTGACCAAGAACCGGCAAAAAATGTTTTTGAAGTTGTAAATTGAAAATTTCCAGAAAATACTTTTTACTTTATAAAACTCAATGTGTAGAAAATTTGAGATTTCTTGTTGAAAAAATTTCTTGTTGGCAAAATGTCTAAATTTTCTGAAAATTGTTTCAAATTAAATCCTACACAGATTTTTTTCAGTGTACTAAAAATGTCATCTTGACAGCAAAATGATAATAACAATACTATGGAAGCCCGTTTCTGCCACTGAATAAAAAAATAAAAAGGTAATTGTGACTTTTTCCTCACAATTGCGTGCAGTTCTGACTTTATAACATGCAATTGCGAGTCAGAATTGTGAGATATAAACTCGCAATTCTGAGAACATATCAGTCTATTTTTCCCCTCAGAACTGGACTTTATAACTCGTAATTGCGAGTTTATATCTCACAATTCAGAATTGAAAGAAAAAAAATCAGAATTGCGAGATGTAAATGCAATTGCGAGAAAAAAAAGTCAGAATTGTGAAGTAAAAACTCGCAATTACCTTTTTATTTTTTATTCAGTGTCGGAAATGGGCTTCCATACAATACACAATTTAAGATGTGGCAGAAATTACACTAGTGAATAAAATCACGGTTTTCAGGAAAAAAGCGAGAGAGAAAAAAAAAAAACAGATTCATGTTTATACACCAATGAACATGTAATTGCAAAACCACTTCAAAAGAGCTTTTTTCTGTTTTTAAACATACTACAGACTTTCTTTTTTTTGTATTGTATGTAAAACAGCGGTTTGGGCATTCTGCTAAACTTATTGTGAGTCATACAGGAATTACTTGAGAATGAGTAAATGATGACAGTTTTCATTTTTTAACAAACTGGTCTTAAAGGATCTGTGAACGAAAACCAGGCCTTTATGTAATCCTCTTACTCTAGAGACTGACTCTGATGAACAACAACCTGGGCAATGTATTTGAACTAACACAGTGTAAACTCATGAAAACACAAGATAAAACTGTACACAGCCATATGATTAACTGAATTTTGCATTAAAAAAGGCATGTCAAGGCTTATTGCTCACCTGGGTTTGCCGGAGGGTATTTGTCGGCTGGGTCTCCTCATGGATTGACTGCTTTGTACTTTAACAGGAACTCTGGGAGAAGAGCGGTGAGGGGCTTCTGGTGCTGGAGGTTTTTTAGGGATCTTCTTCATGAGCCGACTAACCCATTTCTGCTGGTCCTCCTGAGAAGATGCTAACAGCAGCAGATTTTTAGCCGTAGACACATCGTAGTTCACTAGAGATAGACACAGAAAAGAAGAGCGGATGAGGAGAACAACAAGTGAATGGGAATAGGAAAATAGAAATAAATAAATAAATATATATATATATATA